TGTTCTCTCAACAACTCAATAATTCATGTATATGTTCAAATCTTAATTTTATGAAGTGGTTAGCATGGGAGAAGTTTTACTCTGGCTATATATACTGAGGAAAACGAACATAACTATGTTATTTGAACAGAATGAATAATCACTTTATCATATTTTTTCTGTTTTTTTGCTACTAGCATTCCTGCTTTATATTTTTTTACTGGTGGAATTATTATCACTTATTTCATAGGAATATTATTGCAGACCTCATCGTTATTAGGACAACTGTTAATTTACAACTATTAATAAAACAAACTTTATAGATTAAGGAATATTTTTATCCAAGTTGACAGTAGTTAGTGTTATAATGTCACAAATAGCTTGTATCCTTGTTAAGCTTTGGTTGATACAAATAAATTATAATTTAGTTACATAAATACTGTTTATTATAAAAAATGTATAATTAAATACTTCACAAGGAGTTTACATATTTTATTATTTTAGACATTTTCTAGCACATTATTCTTTTACTCGCCACCTTGCTCTCCTGTTTTGCTTTTCGTGCGCTCTGCCCAAGATGGACGACCCCAAGGATTCTGATAATGACTTTTCTGACGAAAATGACTCTTGTCCTTATGATTCATCTTCCATGGGGCGACCCATGAGACCGCCAATGAGGTATAAATCTTTTTTTTCCTAACGCACCCTTTTTTCCATTGTTGCTAAATTGTCTTATGGTTTTTTAATCCTAGGCCCCAAGGTCCTCCAGGTCAATTTAGACCTAATAACAGACTTCCTTTTCCTCCCACGTATCGCGGTCCGATGACTAGGTGTCCTCCCAGGGGTATGCCTATGCCTATGCCTGGAAACCGGTATGTAAAATACTTCTCGTACTAGTGTACTATCTCAATTTTCAGCTCTCCCACTTTCTGTTCATTTGATTACAGTTCAAACATGAGAGGAGGCCCTCCAAACATGATGCCATATCGCCCAGGGCCACCTGGTCCTCCTGGCCCTCCCCGTCCCCCATTTGATGCCTATGGCCCATCCTCAAATCAGCAAATGATGTATCGTGGACCACCCCCTCATGGCATCCCTCCTCGTTTCCCTCCTGGTGTTCCCTATCCAATGAGCGGATTTCCTATGCCCCCCATGCCTCCTCTCTCGGATGATGCCAAGCTAGAGGACGAAGAAAGTATCGAAAATGAAGAGAGTGATTCTGAAGATAAAGATGATAGAAAAGAACGAGTACAAGATGATAATAGGCCACTTGATGAGGGTCAAATGATGACCGGAGCACCCGGTTATCCGCCGGGAATTATGCAAATGGGCTACCGTATTCGCGGCCCTCCTCCTCATCCCATGCATCCGCACATGAATGAAGGCCCTCCTGGCGCCTCATTTAGAGGCCCTATGCCAATTCCATCTTCTGGGCCACCTAATTCCATGGGAGGTCCGCCAAATTCTCTTGGACCTCCTCCCCCGTATCCCTTTCCGGGTCCGCAAAGCAGATCAAGCGAAGGTAGCGTCTGGTTGATTTATCTCACATTTGCTTTAATTTTATCATCAAAATGCATTGTCTCTTTATTATAGGTGCTACTCCCAAT